ATGGAAATTGTAGATCTCGTCGTCCTCTACAAAAAAGGTCTAATGCAATTTTTCCACAAGTCCAACGGTTTGGGAGTTATTGGCAAAAAACGAAAATTTCGCGAAATCTGAAGGGGTACCCCTTGGAAAAATCTCGAAAAAATCGAAAATTTTTTTGTTGTTGTTTATTATTAGCAATGTTCTTCCGACGTCTAATTTCTTTTTAAAAAATGCGTTTCTAAAGTGCATAAAATTTTGGGATTGACTGTATAGCCAATATATTCTTAACAAGTTTCGGTACTAGTGAACTCTTTAATAACTTAATTCTCATGGCTCGTGCGACTGCGAGTTTTATGCATTTGTCAAAAGAATTTCAAAGTGTACTGTATATAATAACACAAGTGCACATTGCAGTTTTTAAATGATAGAAAGAATTCTTATATAAATTATATAAAAATCTGCAGTCGAAGTACAAGAAACTTTCGCAGTTAATAGAGGGTCGATTAAGAAAACTAGAATTCGATCGTATGGAACAGGCTGTTGGGTTGGGGTAAATGCAAAAGGATTCCTTCCGATAGGAAGACTTACTCGTAATCCCTCGTATCTCCAGGGCATCTCAGGTCTCAACAACTCGGAGCAGGGCTTCCGAGGCACTCGTCCTTAGTGGAAGAAATTGCGTTCACCGATTATTATTTGGATAAAGAAAACGTTGAAACAAACGCGCGAAAGTGCATCGTAAACCCAGAATCGATGTAGCTCGAATACATCGATCGCCCCCTGATGCCGTTTATTTAGCGCTCGTTTTTTTTCTTACTTTGGGCGTTACGCGCGTCGCCGGCTCTGTAATTAAGGTTCGCTGTAAATACATAGGAGTAGTACGCATCGCGGGAAATCATCTACGCGACTCTATTTAAAACTGCTAAGCGTTTTGAGCCAGTTACATGATACGCGTGCAACCTCCAACGTTTCTACTAAACTCTATGAAACTGAACGTTGTACGCGCGATTCGAACGGCTAAGCTCAATCTTTTATTACATTTATTTATGTTTTTTTTTAATCATCGTATATGTACCTTCGCTATTACACCCCAGCAATGTAGTCAGCCGATATCGATCTTTGACCGGACATCGTAATTTTTTATAAATGCTTCGAAGCCTGATCAGAAATTTGTAGATAGTTTACTGTGGGTATTGCCATTGACGCTGATACGTGGTACACACATCGCGTATCCCTTTGAAATTTCGCTCGTTAACGTTGGACCGATAGATTTAGAGAAGCGTAACATTCCTTGCGCAATTTGACCATTAAATGCGATTTCGTAGCCGAGCTTTGCGAACTGTTGCGACAGAACTTCGCGCCTTTCAGTATCCAACTGCAATAGGCACTAATTAAAAGTTACACTCAATTCTAGTACTATCGTCAATATTGTTATTGTAGACCCAGAAATAATTGATCGCACGATTAATTAAAAATTCCATATTGCACTTCTTGTACATACCACTAAGAAAAAATCGCGTAAACACTGTCGTAATCGATTTTATTGTAGCAAGACTCAATACCACTGTAGGTTCGACGAACGTAACGAGCGAAAGGGATGAACGACCTGTGGCTTGGTGCACGTATTCGGGGATACGTGTACTGTTAAACGGTCACTCAGTTTAATTTTTGCTTATGAGAGAGGACAGTGAACGTTGAAAGGGCCTCGCAGATATGTGCGAAGCTCAAGAGCCAGTGCAGCAGTGACGGTCTCTACTTCATCGATTCTCGCGCCCCTTCCGTAGGGGATGGGCGCAGGGATGCTCATTTCGCGGGTAAAGACAGGGAAGCTGCCTTCTGAAAACACACGATCATCTGTTGTTCATATCCATCCTAATGTAATTTATTTAGTGTGAATCTTTTTTGTAAATATGTAACTCCCTCTTTCCCCTTTGTAACGTGACAAACAAATATCGATAAGCTCGGAATATACGAGGCAACCGATTCTCAGTGGTTGAATCGATCTTATAGTAGAAGCTACTTTTATATAAAAAATATCTATTATTTATATGATACAAGTAAACGTTAAGGATGTATATATTGAAAGTACGTAAGGAACCTGTTTGATAAATTTCATATGTAATAACAAGGTATGAAAATGATAATAAAAATGAAACAAAAATAGTAGGAGTATTTACAGTTTTTTTATTAGCATACACCTTAAATGTTTTATTACGATTATTATTTTACAATTTATTCTAGATTTAAACAAGCTCAGATAAGTATCGGATCTAAGCTGCTGCTGCCTGCATTCTCTTTTGTCTGATGAGGAGCCTGCGTTCTCTTTCGTATTCTTTCATTCTCAAAACGAAGCTGTAACATAAGCCAAATAATAATAACATGATAGTAACGAGAAATATTTTTTAAAACTTACTCTTCGTATTCGCACTGCTGATGATGATGTACTTCTTTTTTACACCGTTGCACCATAGGAAATTCTTTTTGGAAACAACGGGCGTAGTCTATATAGAGATGAGCGCAATAATCTCTGTACATCTGAGGAATTTTTGCTGCTACCATGTCTTCTTCGCTCGCTAATGAAACTATCGAGCACAATCGAAATTACGATAAGACCATCTATAAGGTAATTGTCCCAGTTCCTGTTTACATAATTTTATTAGAATTGTAGAAAAATATGCCAATGATCGCGACATAAACAGAAACTGGTACATTTATCTCATTTGATGTATAATTACGTTAAGCTCCGAAAAAACATGAATTGACAGATCTATTTGGTCTAATATGCATAGAATCGGAACTTTTCTATGAACAGTTATGTCACTGATGTATTTATAATACAAAAACAAGAAAATACGATAAAATAAAAGAACGAAGATATCGACGATTCATTGTAAAAATGTATTTTAAGCAACTCTCTGCGTTTGCACAGTGCAACGATCATTTGATATCAAACAAATAAATATAGAACAGAGCAATTGCACTTGGAAAAGGTTAGAATGAAGGGAACTTGCCTCTTTTCTTCCGTTGAGCAGGAAATCCCAATTGTGGATCAAAGTTCGGTGGTGCCAGCGATTCTGGAAACGGATCCCAGACAACCAGTTTTTGAACTGAGTTGCCCATTATTTTTTTAAATTTGCGTTAAAACTATGGTGCAAACAACAAACTCTAAAAGGCGAAGTTAACCCGCATAGTGCTGACATCTGACAAACTTACGTAATATAATCGGATAGTGGGGGAATCGAGATCGAGGTATAAAACAGATTTAATCGTCACATCACTTCGAAAACATGATTTATTTTTATTGGAAATATCCACTGAAATGAATGTACACGTGTATTAAACATGATCCCAGAAATATTATTAATACATATCCATAAAATCGCTTCGGGCCGATCAAAATGCAAATTAAATTAATCATCAATGATATGTTCGACTGTTCCAAGTCGACGCATCTGTGTAGAATTTGATTTCTTATCAACTTAACAATCTGTTCTCAATTTCCATTGACTCAATATACTTACAGTGATAAGAAAGATTTATCTTAAATCTGAAATGAAGTATGTGAAGATTTAATCATCCTCCTCTTCCATTGCTTCGGGTACCGAATTCCCTGCAATAATCAAAGTATTTCGATAAACAACAGAACACACAAGACATGCATTTCATTCTTTCTTTTAATTACAAACCATTTTGTAATTTTTCTTCACTGGGCATGTGTCCGGCTTGCAATAATTTACTAAGACGTTGCACTTCTTCGAGGGAAGAAGCATTTGTAATGGCTTCCCTAATTTTGTTACGCTCCTCCGGTGTTGTCAAGGGTTTGTCCGTGGATATTCCAGATGTCTGTGTTTTCACTTTCTTGGCTATTTCTCGAACCATTTCCTTTCCCTTTTTCGTTCTGAAGTAATCAACAGCAGCTTCCTTCTCTTTCATCTTTATTTTCCTAAAGTCCAGAAGCCTCAACTGAGGAAATCTGTATACAATGTACTGCCGGTATTGAGGCTTGGCAGAAACAGGATTTTGCAGCAAACAAAGGTTTGTTAAATTCTTCAACTGTGTCAACGGTTCTAAATCCCCGAGTTCTTGGATCATATTCCCTGTTAACATGAGCGTCTCCAAATTTGGGATACAGTGGTCCAATCCCTCACCAATTCTGACAATGCGATTATTATTGAAAAAAAGTGTCTTGATTCTCTTTAGCAAAGGAAATCCATCCAATTTCCTTATATCATTATCAGAGAAATCAATGGTATCAAATTGATCCTAAAAAATAGAAGAATTCCAAAAGAATATAATTTTTTTATACAATATGCAGGCTCGAAGAGAAAAGAACTTACGGAAAACTATACTAACCAGTGTTGCACCCAAATTCTCAATAGTAGGTATTTTGTATCCTAAAATATAAACAATCATTTCATATTTTATTTTAATTTTATATTTATTTTTATACCGTCATTTTATTGTTGTATATCAATGAGTTTTATATAAATCGTAATAAATAAAGGCACTGAATATGAAATATTTGGGTTACGTTTACTAAATAGATTGCGTTTACAAACCCCTGAGATCCAATTCTCGATCCTTTACAGGATTGATATATTGCATAGATTGCTGAATTAAATCCGGTGTTAGTTTAACCATTTTCTACCGTAATACTGTTAATTAAAATAGAAAAATCGATCCGAATAGATCGTCAACAACAACACATTTCCGCTGTTTCCGCTTTGTGACAGCGTGAAGTTGTATTCTTACGGTTGGCAAGTATGCGCAATGCACAATATAGCCAATATAAAATCCCACCACTACCAGTCATTAACATCAGAGAGGAAGTTCCTCTCTGTTAACATATATCTCTCTGTATCTGTGTAACTCAACCACTACCTCAGTGACAGTATAAAATAAAGTATAAAAGGAGTACCGCTGCACTTGCTTGTGCAGTGCTGTGCTGCTGTGCACGTACACATCGTGCAGGTGTACCACAGAGCACAGGCATTCTTGCCGGCGAGGTAACAAATGATTTTTTGAAATATGAGCGCTTGAATTCTGAGGAGTTTAAACACTGATAAACGACTTCTTATTTAATACTGTTTTAATTATCGACGAGTCAAAGACATTGCTGCAAACTAGTTATTTGCAATATGAACTTGAAGATTATTTAATGTAATTACGTCTGCGATTATGTCACGATGACGAGAACTAAAAGAATGAATAATTATTAATTATTTCATAACTGTTGACAATACTACTTAAAATAATTTGTTGTTTCGATTCTGATTATATTAAATTCAGTTCTTCCCGAAGAACGTAGCTATACCATTAAAATCAATCGAGGAAGTAAACGAGTTAAGATAAATACTAGCTGAAATTTGAATGCTCGCCATTTACTTAATTCGTCGGCGAACACTTTTGTGAGCCTTTTTGTCAATTGGTGCCCAAGGCTATCGCGATTTGTATACTAAACCACGAGCGTTATCCAAGTAATTAATAGAACGTAGACATCAAAGTCCAAAAACCTTATGACGTTCAGCAGATATTATAAATTCTGATTCAACGATAAGTTCCTGTGTATTCGACCCACTATAACAGAATAGAAGTCACTAAGAGTGTTACTATGTCAAGTTAAATAACGAACTGCGTTCAAAACTACCTGCGAAAGTATTTCAGAAAATGTTAATTGAGAATCCTTGAAAATCGAAAATAGAGAAATAATTAGTTTCACGAAGAGTTCGTATGCATCATTTATCTATTATGTATTATAGTTGACCAAAAGCTTCTTACCAGGATTACAGATTGAGTAATCCTGGAAAATGCAGTTGAGGCCCCTGCTGATGTATGCTAATCTTTCTACGCGCTCGCCAGAGTCCACATATTCACCGTAACACACAAACAAACGTGGTTAGCGTTGTGTTTTTCGACTACTCGGGAATGATCGACAGAATAATTATCAGAATTCTTGAATTTCAAGTCTGTAACCTTGGATAGTCGACGGTCTGTCTCAAACTCTCGAGAATGTTCTCGCTAGACTGCCCAGCACGTGCGAATGTGTCGAAATCCTCTGTCCTAAGAAATTATCCAATCCGGAAACGTAAATGAAAATACTGCATCCCGTTATCATTGGAGCACAGTTGAACTGATAACTAAATTGCAGATTTTCATGCGAAGTAAAATCAAATGTAAATTGATATTGAATATTTGGTTTACGACGTGCGTCATTTTTACGCATTCCGAGTTTCATGACGAAAATCACAGAAATCGTTTACATTTTTCTTCTACCATTCGTACTACCGAAATTCGTTTTCTTCAAAGCTTCCTAATGTCAGAGATCTCTATGTGGCATACCTATTTTTACGGAAACTTTCTTGAGCGAGATCAATAATAATCGATCGGTATAATTCAGTAGAAAGAGTTGAAGGTCAGATCAGAGGATCACATCTATGACTTCGCGGGATTCGGACAACTTTTTCAGACACTAAGTACTACGAATAACTTTGTAGAAGAGATTTCGCTATTAGCGGTAATAAAACGTGGTCAGTCGATCAATTAAACGATGTCAGCGTTAATAAGGTGCTCTACATGATTGCTTGAACTGAGGTTCCTATATAATAATCACGATTAAATGACGTGCGTCATTAAAGTGTTATAAAAGATACGTTTTCTTGCTCCTTATACTAACAACATTTGCATGAGAACAAGAATGTGACTTGCATACCATAGAAATAAAAGAGTTATAAGCCAAATGAATATTTAAAAGATATCTGAAATTATCGAATATAAGAAAAGGTTACTAACACATAACAGTTTTTGCGGGTACATAAATACACGTGGATTTTTATTACAACAGCATAGTAATCATTTGCGTAATCAAGGCTCATCATTATAGAAACCATGAGCGATGATGGACTACCTAGCAAGTGATGATAGAAAATTAAACAATGCATAAATCATTGTAAACGAGAAAAATACTATGATAATAGAATATTTTCTTCTGTTCTTAATATCACCATAATGTGCGCAATGGACGATGTTCGACTGTGAAAAAAACCTTTTGCAATTCATTAGATTTCAATGCTTGAAATTTTTCTCTCTGGTCCAAAGTACGGTAAACACTGCAATTTGCTTCATTTAAATATTGTAATCGTTTTATCAAATGCACTAATTATTAATGAAATACGTAAATCGTTTAAGGGTAATCGTGCTCAAAACGATTTTGATTGACCACGACCTAGTTAAGCCATGCGACAGGAATAAGTGCATACACCATAACGCATGAACCGGTATTCAATTTGCGTATCTAGGTATACAGATGACAATTGTAATTTTCCAGTGTTTGACGTAATACGAGAAAAAAATAGTAAACGTCTGAGACCTACTTAAAATGTAGTAGAATACATCATAACAGTAAACATCCCTAATTAATCACCAGTAATAGACAAGAGCGATGAAATGTTTCCAGAAAACTCCAGATCCAATAATCTGATAATTTTGTATTTCCGAGTTATAAGTATGTACAAAACGAAGTATTTATAATGTAATATCTCTTCCTGATAATAATTAAAACTTTCAGAGTTACAAGTAGCAATTAAATGTAAAATACCAATTACTAGATCTGTTCGTGTCTATTTCTTGGTCAATAAAATCTTTTTTTAGACCAATTATAACTAACTATGTGGCTATTGGCATGTAACAGTATTATCGGCGCGTCATAAAATTATTTATTCACGGCAGGTAGCGAACGGCGAACGGCGATTGTGATTTCAAATATTTTTCGTGGAACGTTTCTTTTAAAATTGTCACCCCGACAACCTCGCCCTCGACCTTTGCTACAGAATTCCGGCTTCCAAGTCTGAAACAGTTATGTAAAACATTTTCGATCAATCCTAAGTTTCATTCCTTCTTTTTTATTTTTAGGTTCGCCGACACAAGGAATTATGCATACGTAATACATTCGGTAAGTATCTGCGATTCATCATGCATGGCCAATAATAATGCATCAAAGACAATAAAGACAGCATGTAAATATACAATTTATTAGTATATACAATTTATTAGTATTTAAAATATGTATTCCGTTGTTAATTTTAAAATAGTTAGTGACTTAAGAATCAAGGTGATCGCCAAACTTTAACCACGTCTGTATGTTTAATAAAATTAGACAGGAGCGTCCTTGAATCGTAGCACATTCTAGTACGTGGGTACACAATGTATACATATATGTGTAAGTCAAAATCTGTAATAACGTCTGTCCGAAGTTCAAATAACTTGGACACGATTGAAAAAAAAAGCTAAGTTAAGAACATGCGAGCATAACGGGATTCGGTTGGCAAATTAGAAATACGTATTCTTTTTAATCAAAGATCTATAATTCGAAATATTCGATGAACTTGTTTCAAGGAACTCGATGTTATTTGTTTCGAATGCATTTTGACTGTATCGTGTTAGATTAGAAATAAAATTACTTATAATTGAATGCAGTAAATCGCATCCATGCGGCATTAACACGTTCCGTGCCAAGCCATTTTTGCCTGACTTGTCGTTC